CACATATTATGATCATCTTGTTTCATAATGTAGAGTTTGAATGGTATAAAACGGGTACAAAAGTGATAATATTCCATATAATCTCGAAGATTCCACTAAATTTGATGAGTTGAGGGGGTGGTTGTAATTATCCAAACAAGAGGGGTGTTTTTGTAATTTGACCATACCTCAGGGGGGTGTTTGTAATTTACCCCTTATTATATTGGGTGAATTGCATTTTGCACCCCAGAAATGAGCTAAATTGGCGATGTTAACCCTCTAATTATACCTCTCATGGCAAAATGCACCCATTGAGGTTGAACTTTACCATTTTTAAATTTTAGGGTGAAAAGTGACAATTTAGTCATTTAAGGGGGTGCAAGCTGCAATTCACAGTTATTATATTATATATTCCGAATTTCCAGGGTTTGTGTTACGGAAAAAGTATCCAACAAAATGAACGAAGCCCATTTAAACTGGACCCTGATGTAGCCCAACTACAACCTAATTGATTTGGGCAACATTGTCTGATGCAGCCCAACAAATCTGCCATTGCAATTTTTTTTTTATTCTTTTGGAACGAAATTTGAATTAGTTTTTTCAATTAAGAAATTTAATTTTTTTTTTCGAAAAACTGCTATTACTAATGAGATAGAAGGTTAGGGAATTTGTTGAATGATAGATACGGTCAAAATTCAGTCGTATGTATCATTTGCTGAATGGATACAAAATTTTTGTATGAATGGATAAGAGATTGTTGAACTCATTCAAATGTATGCAGAATGAGTGGGCAAAAAAAACTATTAAAATGTCCATTAAATTCATCAAACCTAAGTGAGTAATTTAAAATTAAGAAGCATATGGGATTGTATTCTTGTAATTTTTTTTGCAGGTGGAGTAAACAGTTAGAATTTGTTAGGCCTTTGCGTCTCCTCTATGCAACATGGTTGTTGACTACAATAAGATACTAATTCTAATTTAAATTACGAATATTACTCCAAGTAGAAGTGAAAATCGAAGGGATATGATCGTAGTAGTAGTAGTAGTAATAATAATAATAATAATAATAATAATAATAATAATAATAATAATAATAATAATAAATAAAATAAAAATGTGATAGCTCATGGCCACACTGTTAAGTAGTATTGAGCATATAGGATTATTGATTACTAGTGAATTATTTTATTATTATTATTATTATTTTGAGAAAATTCAAATCCATTAGAAGGGGAATAATGAGAATTGGGGACTCGAATTCTAAATCTTGGTAAAAGGATATATACCAACTTTCATAATGAGAGTTGGTTATTACCAGTGAATTACTTTACTAATAGGATTATTGATGACTACATTCTTGTAGGTTTTTAAACTGTTATTAATCAATACCTAATAGCCCCCGTGCTGTAAGTTTGTGCCTAAAAATTATTTTTCTCGTAAATATATATACCTAATTATCTTTATTAGTAATTAAACAACCTATTAAATTATCATATTAACACCTAGGTAATAAATATGACTTAGGAAAATGAAAAATATATATATATATTTACGCCCAATTTGTGTTTATTTAAGTTGGAAGACTGTGATGGAAAATATCAAAATCCACATCAAATCCCTTTATCTCTTAATCAATTAATCACATAATTAACTAGAATAAAATAAAAGTCAAAATATCACTTTACTTCTGATGCACACATGTATAATATAATTCTTTATGCCCCTCCTAATACGTTTCACTTTTGATCATAATAATTTAATTAATATTTAACGTCAAAATAGCCTTTTCTCATTAAATTAAATAATTGATAAAAATACGCCGAAATGCTCGTTAAATTGCAAAATAAGTTGACGTTCAAAAGTACCTATCAAATTTACAATATTTGAAATTATTCCCCAGACACCAATTTAGATATTAAAAAATAAAATACTAGAGGAATTTAGGTAATTAGAAAGCCAAATTTCAATTGATTTTCAGAATTAGCTTAATATTTTATTAATATAATGTTTTTCCAAATAAGAATTAAGTATTAATTAATGAAATTAATCACAAGTTTAACCCAGCACGATCTCTCTCTCTCTCTCTCTCTCCGCGTTCTCTCGTTCTGCCTGCAAACAAATGCTCGTCGGCCGTCTCCAACACTCCACTCTCTCACCCCCCACCCCCACCCCCACCCCCCGCATTATCTTGCTCTTATATTACAGCTATTTTCTCGTTCATCGCTGACTCTGTGTATACTTTCAATCCAGCAAATTCCACATCTCTGTGGATTTGCTTTTCAAAACATTAATCTCAATTTTTGGTAAAAAATTCTTCACTTTTTGCTAATTCAGATCCGTTGAATTTCTCAATTGGATATTTTGGATCCAGATCCCTCATTTTATTCCCTTCCCAGTCAGTCATTTTCCAGCCCTAATTGATCCCTTCGAAAATCTCTCCGTGACTTCACTTCAGCCATTTATTTAATCGGTTACAGAGTTTTCTCAGTCTTTTCCCCCGGTTAATTTTGGGGGTTTTTTGCTTTTTTCTTTTTTTTTTTTTAATTCTGAATTTATTTGATTAGAAAAAAAGATGTCTGCGATGAAATCGACGGGCCGATTCTTCACGATCGGGCTGGTAACATCGTGGTATTCATCCAACATTGGGGTTTTGTTGCTGAACAAGTATTTGTTGAGCAATTACGGGTTCAAGTACCCGATTTTCTTGACCATGTGTCACATGACGGCGTGCTCGTTGCTCAGCTACATTGCGATTGCATGGATGAAGATGGTCCCGATGCAGACTATAAGATCTAGGGTTCAGTTCATGAAGATCTCGGCCCTCAGCTTGATTTTCTGCGCCTCAGTTGTCAGTGGCAACATTTCTCTCAAGTACTTGCCTGTTAGCTTCAACCAGGCGATTGGGGCCACAACGCCATTTTTTACTGCCGTATTTGCATACTTGATGACATTTAAAAGGGAGGCCTGGTTGACTTATGTGACTTTGATTCCTGTGGTTACTGGAGTCGTCATTGCTAGTGGGGTATGTTTAGATTCTCTTTCTATTTACTTGCATAATTGTTTCTAATTCTTTGTTGCTATTTTGTTTTGATAAGGTTTTGCTGTTGAAGTTTTCTATAGATCAATCAACTGTTATGTGGTATTGTGGTACTCTGTTTTTCATTTGGCCTATGCTCTGCCCCTTTTGTTGATTATTACCATGGGTTGTAAATTACGCATTTAATCTACGGTCGATGTATTTGCGGGGGTTTTTCTTATCTGTTGAAAGATTGGTTTTAATGTACAATTGAAACAAAAATGATGAATGAACTATTAGATGTTAGTCTTACATTGTGGTGATGTTTCTGTATAACACGGGACGAAAAACTACTGTTAAATTTTTTTCTGCTTGAACTGATTCTTGTCATATGTTTCTTTCAGGGTGAGCCGAGTTTCCATTTGTTTGGATTTATCATGTGTGTTGGTGCAACAGCTGCAAGGGCACTCAAGTCGGTGGTTCAGGGGATTTTGCTTTCTTCTGAAGGGTAACTTTCATATCTTCTCATCTATCATTTATTTTATTGTAGAATAACTAAATATGGATTCTGAAAGTTCTTATTTTTATTGTAGGGAAAAACTGAATTCTATGAATCTACTACTATACATGGCTCCTATAGCAGTCGTATTACTACTTCCGGCCACACTTTATATGGAGGAAAATGTTGTTGGTATAACATTGGCATTAGCAAGAGAAGATTTCAGAATTATTTGGTTACTGCTGTTCAATTCTGCGCTTGCGTATTTTGTGAATTTGACCAATTTTTTGGTCACAAAGCACACCAGTGCTTTAACTCTTCAGGTATTTCTTGGTCATTGCTCCTGTTCCATGATAATACACTACACTGTTATCCTGGTTTTATTTTTCTTCTTCGAGAAATAGGACACCCGGATATCAATTATGTGTAACTTGAGTGGAGAGAAATCCACTTCTGCCTATCACTGGATTTTTGAACTTAGGGTCTAATTTGATAGAAACTAGCATCTAATTCTTTCCATCTTGTTTCTTTCGAATACTAAGGTCCCACAATTTATGCATTTCTGCCTTAACTGCAAGGAAACTGAGTAGTGAAAGCGACTAAATTCTTGTAAGACGAACTCCCAGTTTGTAGTTGTCATGTCCCAAAAAGATGTTCATTGTCTATCTGGCTACTAAACACTGTGATGGTACCACCAATAGTTATTTTCACATTCATAACTACTAAAAGTTTTGGATGAGTATACACATTATTTATCTGTAATTGGTTCTTTGCAGTAGCGCTCTTAATTAACAACGGTTCTTTATTTTTGGCAATTGAGTAGAATGATAGCAAAGTTTTAGAGCATGCTTTTCTCCTCTTCATATTTAACGGGGCAAACAAAAAATGTTGGTGGAGATGCAGTGTTTGTGGCAAATGTGTTGTGAATGATATGCATAGAGAGCTGTTTCTTGAAACTAGATATTGAGCATGCTTAAATCGGGTTCATCTAACCAATTATTAAGTTCTTAACTTGTCTTTAAACCACAAGCACAATTACTATGTTCAAACCTGCCCTTTGTCCATTCTGCTTAGTTTAGTCCAAAATGAGACTTTCACAGATCCGAGTTGTCTTTCCACTGTACTAGTAGGGTGGTTACCTTCAAATGTTTTTATGTTCCACAATGCTTTGTGGAGTAATATTCTAGGTTTCGTCTTGGATTTTGACTGTGTCTGGAACAGAATGTACTCTTCCTCCAAGCTCGAGCTCGAAGTATCAATTAGCTTTGTACTCGTTAACAAGTCTCTTATAATGTTCCATTTTATACCATTTTTTTTTACTGTTTTGACAAGTATAAGTTATATAACATACTCACAAATGAAATCTTGTTTGTCGAATTTCTTGGCCTTTTTTTTTTTTCTCGACTGCTCATATGATTTGCATATTGTTTCAGGTTCTTGGAAATGCAAAAGGGGCAGTAGCAGTGGTAATATCCATACTAATATTCAGGAATCCAGTTTCCATAACCGGAATGCTCGGGTATAGTCTGACGGTGATGGGTGTGATCCTCTATAGTGAAGCCAAGAAGCGCAGTAAATGAAACTGATCCTTCCGGGGAAAAAAAGAAAAGAAAAAAAATCAAAATTTGGTATGGGGTTGCTTTGTAATATGAATTAGGTGCAGCCATTAAAAGTAAGTTCAGTCTTGTTGACCTATTTTTTGCTCGGGAGCTGAAAGGATAGAGAGGCTTCTTCAACATGTACCAGCAATCAAACAAACAAACAACCACCTGATTGGTGGAGTAGACAAGTTTTTTTAAAATAAGTGACTCAGTCAAATGTCTTTATTATTTACAGTCTTGGCTTCTAAGAAATAGATCCTTTCTTTTTTTTACCTTATAATTCTTTCAGTAAAGGATTTGGATCCATCTACATACCATGTGATTATACTTTTTTATTACATATTTACATCAATTTAATCATACCCAGACAATGCTCCTTCATTGTTTCTTCTCCTTAATTATTGTTCAAGACTATGTTCCTCAATTTATTCTCATTTATTTCTCATTACTTCATCTATAGAATTTTAGAATCTTTTCCAAATACTCTAAAAATCATTTTTAAACAATTAACTTAGAAAAGTCACGAGGATAAGTGACCCGAGGATAAGTGCCTTCGATGGAAATGACACCGTTCTCCTAGGTAGCAGTTAAGATCGTTACATAAGCTAGATAAAAATAGTACATTAGAACTGATAGTCAGCCTCGTATTCCTAGTACAACAACATTTCACACGAAAGACCCTTCGAATAATAAATAAGAAGCATTGGAGGTAAAAAAGAAAATAGTAAAGGCGGGTCAAATAGAGTATTATAAAAGAGGGTTGTCAAGTAAATAACCAATGTTGGGAAATTGGAACATCCCATAAATTCAATGGGAACTCAGACCAGCGATAAACTCGGCTGGGGAAAGAAGACGCCGGAAAAAGGGGGGAAAACAATAATTTCAAGTTTACAGGCAATGAAAATCAAACCAGAAAAAGATTCGAAAACACATCCACACATATAATTAGAAAAATAAAAAAAATCAAGTAGTCGCCTGATGAGTTGGAGAATCTGGAACAGCAACAACAGCCGTTGGGCGTTTCATCGAGGCAGATTTGAGTACATGATTGTAGCTTCCCTTTTCTTTGAATAGCTGCGAAAAATGAGGTTTGCAGTAAAGTATGCCGTCTAAGGCGGCATAGTTTGATGGAGTGAGAGAGCATCCACCGTGTGAACACTTGAAACAAGACTTGTGGTAGCTTTGGTTTTCCACAGTCACCTGAAAAAAATAAACAATATTATTGATAAATAAATAAATCATTTGGATGATGCAAAGAAGTTGTCTCAAATGATTAAACTATATATATATATACCTTCTCCAATGGGTAAGCTGTTTTGGCACACGTTGCACATTTATCTTGTGTACCGGAAAACATACCAGCAGCTTTGCTAGGTGATCTTGTCTGCAATTTTTTAAAATAGGAAGTTAAGAATCATAGGATGTTTTATTAGCGTAGTATTAAATTTTGAGATTATACAAATTTTGTGGGGTAATTTACCATTTCTGGAGTTGATGACTTCTCGGCTGACTTTGCAGCTGCGGAAAATTAAATTGGCGTGATTAGATAAAAATAAACGAGAATGTGTAAATTAGAGATACGAAAAAGAGAGCATCTTTAATTTGTATATATAGAAGAAAATGCATACGCGAAGTGAAGTTCTTGGTGAAACTTCCGGTCTCTTTGAAAAGCTGCTCATAGTGAGGCTTGCAGTAGAGAACACCCTCCATTGATGAGTAATTGCTCAGCTGTGGAAAAACAACAATGTGGCGACCCTTATGAATATAATTATGTATACATGAATTACAAGCACTGAAGTTAAACTATATAGTATTGCGTATATGCCTCACGTATTTTTTTAAATTGATTTTAGCATCAAAAGCTTGAATATGTATCAAAAATAGATGCACACGAATTAACATAATTTTATTTCATAATTGTCCTATATTATCTATCTTAAAACTTTTGTTTACTACAAGGGCTCACTAGATTGTCGTGTTATTAATCTCTGTGTAAAATAAAATTCTTTAAAAATACCCTCTACATGAAAAAACTTCCTTCATATGCCAATATCAAGTTGATCCAATTGGTTAACGAAGAGCATTAAGCATTTATATATATATTATACACACACACACACACACACACACACACATATGTCTGCATTTGTGTGTATGCGGCCACGATCAAGAACAAACTACACAAAAAAAGTCTTCTAATACAAAAAATCAACAAGAAAGAATTGCAAGAATCAAGCTCTCCAATCTCATAAATATGAAAAATAACGCTTCAAACTAATTTATCGAAATAGTAATATTTCATAGTTGGCACTAAATCATCTAAATCAGCATTCGATATTTTGGAGTAGAATTCAAATTTAATCAGTTAATAAATATGTAATCTCCACCGATCAAAGTCATTATACTCAATCACACCACCCACTAATCCAATCAGTCAAAATACGCAATCGAAAAATTCAAATACGAAACGTTGAAAACACACACACACACAAACAAAGACCAAAAAATCTAGATCGGATAAGTCATAAGTTCTTCAAACACCAAACAACGAAAATGCGAAAAATCAAGTCAATCAAGATCAATGCAGAGAGAGCATTTATACAAACACAATGTGTGCACAAAAAAAAGTAAGAAGAAGTGGTGCAAACCTTGAGGGTTCCTTTGCAATGGGAGCATCTGAAGCAGGATTTGTGAAAGCTAATTCCATCTGCTGACAAAAGCTCAACATGATAAACAGTCTTCTCACACGCCTTGCATTTTTGTGTTGTCCCGAGAAAAGACATTCTTCTTTCCCTCTCAAATTTAATCCAACCGGATCTGGGCTTCCAAATTTACTGCTCCCCAATCTGAACTAAATTCAACATTTCATTCAAATTTCTCAATCTATAACAACCGATCTACAACTTGAAGTAATTATTCAGATGCAAAATTGCATCTTTAGTAGAAGAAAAAAACACATACCTTGATTTGAAGGGTCCTTGATCGAGGTCAAATGTCAGCAGGAAAACCCCAAAAAGGGGTGGAGGTGGTGGGTTATATATGACTCCCCACTACGTGTATGTATATGTGTATATATATTCGGAGAGAGAAAAGATGCAGCAAAACGAGATGATGATGAATAATGATAGTGGTGGATAGAGAGAGAGAGAGAGAGAGAGAGAAGAGAGAGAGGATAATTATTTATCTTCGCTGGAAAACCATTAGCTTCTCTACTTGGACTCCTGTTAAAGAATTAAATTTTCCGTATCATTAAACAAATAAAAGAAAATAAAAAAGATATTCTCCTTAATTTGGAGAATTTTCAAATAAATTTTATTGCATTTCCGTCCCTTAACTATATAGCAGATGTGGCATTTTTAGCCCCACTAGTAGTATTTTAGTGACAAAATTTTAGTAAACTTTTTTCTTAAATAGTTAAATTTATTTTTAGTTTACATAAAAATAAGACATTTGACATGAATATAAAATATTTAGTTTTATCATCTCAAAATAAAAATAAAAATCTTTTTTTTTATTTGATATTTGAAAAACCCATCACATTATAATGTTATTTTTATAGAAATAAATTAGCTATGGGTCATATGTAAAATGATTTTGTTGTCTTGATTTGCATACTTTTGCATGTGCTTTATTCTTTGAGATAATTAAGTTGGACCATTTTTAGGGATGATAATTTGACCCGTCTCTTATAAGGTACTCGTTCTGCCCCCGTCTCGAAAAAATATGGGGTGGATATGGGGATTAAAGCAAAAAATTTGTATTGGGTACTAAATGGGGATGTATTTTATATACCCGTCCTATATTCGCGTTCCGTTATTGTGTATCTAATATATTTATGTTCAAAATCACTCGATGTATTACAATTTACACCAAGTATTGCATCTCATAGACCGATAAAGACATAGTCATTATTCATTGAAGTTGCCTGCATACCCGACGCCTAATAAGTAATAATGACTTATTATATTACGTGAAAGCACGTTTCTACTAGTTTTTTTTTATTTTCTTAAAACAAAATTATATCTATTCTCATGTAGTTGACATTTTTTTATAAATAACTCTCACCATTTCCCTTTGATTTATTCCCTATAACTTGAGGTGCAAAGCTGAAATCGTGGTACTAATTCACTTAACTTATTTTTCACAAAAAAAAAAATAATAATAATAATCACACGACTTAATAACATTAATAAAATATTTAAAAAATAATAATTATTTATCGTAATTTCATTTTTATTGTTTCATTATTTCTTATTATGGGCTAACTTAACATAATTTTAGGCCCAATAAGTATAATAATTTACTTAATAAATACTTGGTCTTAAGCCCATTAAATAATTTAAATGTTTGTAGTTTGTACAAACAAACAATTCACACTGAAACTGAAACCCGTCAACGAAGAAGAAAGGTTATTCCAGTGTTGCAATGTCGAATTCATCTTCATCCATTCTTCTGCTAAATCTCATTCAGTTATTCCTCTCCGTCTACAGCTATGTGTTTTTTTGTGTAAGTGTGTGTATCACAGCTTTATGTTTATGCAAAAAAAATCTTGATTTTTTTGCAGATTATCAGAACCCTTGAGAGAATCACTCCGCAAAACCCCTTACTCCCCGCCGGAATCTCACGCCGATGTCTCCATCAAATCGTTTCTCATTTCTCTCCTCCCAGACCTCTCAATTTCCGGGTCCGACGTTCGAACCAAAATTAAAGATTTCGCCTTGTGCTGTGCGGCGTTAGCTTCGGCTCCGAACGCCACCACCGAACACCTCTCGTGGGTCCCCAACGCTCTCTCGCTGTCCGCAGTCTCCGCGTTCGAAGAATTTGCTAAACTTTATTGCGATGATTCTATGCACGCCAACTGTTTGATGAAAGTTGATGGACTAGAATTGGACTTGAGCGGCGTGATGGAGAGTGAAAAGAGGCTGGTTGTCGACTTGATGCCGGAGATTTTGACTATGTTGAAGGGCAGCATTAAGGAGAGTGCTATTGATGCCAGTGATGAGAGCGACGGTGTTTCAGCAGCAAGTGCGAGGGCTCCGGTGGCTTATGCTATTTTGGCTGCTTATCAGTTCCGATGGTTTGTTACTCAGGTTGTTGTTATTAATTTTGTTCTTAAAATTGAAGAAAATATTTGTGTTTTTTTTTTTATTAATTGTAGAACTGTTAATTTTGTTTATAGGTGGATGCTCCATATATTGGGAAGTTGTGCCCTTTGGTGATTCCATGTGCTCTAACAGCTCTTGATCACTGGTCTCCCGAAGTGAAAGTAAGTTAAGCAGCTATTTTTTTTTTTTTACGTTAGTTTTTTTTTTTTAACTCTGATAGAATTATGAACGGGACCTGTTGTTTGTAGTTACAGTGAATCATCTTTTCGGAATACAACTCGATTATTTTTTTCCGAATGTCGTTAGAATTTCAGACGATCCCGAGAGCTAACTTTACATGTGATAGTCGAAAGCATCAAAATATCATAACTTCATCATTAGCTCGATTTTGTTACCTCTAGCATTTTTTTGGTCATGGACTTTGGTGATAAATGTGAATCCATTTTAAAACATGCTCAGTGATGAATTTGAAGTTGAGTAGTTTTCAATTTAGAGAGATATAATTTATTTTTCCAATTTGACGTTACTATGCATTGGCATTGTGGAAACCAACGATCCAAGCAGTATATTGTGGTTCAGTTGTGTATGATATTCATCCTGGTGAATAATTTCGACTAAACTTTTCTATTTCAGGGCCAGGGCATGATAAGTTTTATTTATCTCGCAAAAAACGTAAATGCTGCAGAAGTTGGTGGATATGCAGATGTAATACTCGATGCTTGCTGCCAAAATATTGCTTCCGATGATGAGATATGGCACTATGTGGTCGAGATGTCGGTGCTTCTCCTCAATTTAACTCAGAAAAGTAATCCTCGTAGTTCATGGTATTACACGAAATCTGATTAGAATGTCTATTTTGGTTTATAGTTGATAGTAATGCGAGTATATGCTTACATATTTTTTTACTTGCTGTCCGTTTATTCATATTGGATTTATGTATATAGGTACGAGAAGCTGACAAATGAAATGTTAAATCATCTAGAAAGGCAACCAAGAAACAAGCAGCGACGAATTTCATGGCTCAAACACTGTGAAGTTCTGTTCAATGGTCTTGGTCTCGTATTGCTTGCCCATTTCAGACGTCTTTTCCCTCTCTTCTTTAAATGGATGCATGCTGACGATGACGAAACAGTTACACTGGTAACATGATTTTTCCTATTCAAGAATATTTATTTTAATTTTTGTCACTTATATTATTGAAGAACAACTTAAAATTTGTTCAACCTTTTTTCTGAAAATTTGGTGCTCTAATAACGCTTGCAGGTTCTGGAACGAGTGATAACGGTTGTGAGACTTACGTGGATAAGGAATTCTCCGTACATTGAAAGGTAACTGTTTGATCATCTACACATACCAGAGATAAAGGAACACCTTGGCATCTGAATATTTTACTCTCAAAAAATAGGAAATGTCTGAAATACCCTGTACCTATGTTTGTTATCGGCTTCTCAGGTTAGTGGACGAGCTTGTCACTCTATACAAAGACGCAGCATTGAAAGTTGCCCGTGAACATATTAGATCACTTATTCCTCAAACACTAAACCTTATTCGCCTGTGAGTAAAACTCTCTTCTTCGTCTATTATTATTATTAGACGTTACACATGTCAAATTTGCCGTATAAATAAATTATCATTATTTATTTTTCTATATTATAGGTGTAAAAGACCGGAGTTCGACGCGACTTGGTTCAAATATAAGGACGACCCTAACCTAACAGCTCTAATGGAAGTCTGTTGATAAAAATAACGAGATATTTATGTGTTCGTAACTCGAATCTATCATTTATACAGTGCTATATGTATTTTCTTCCCTATATCTGAAACTCATTGTAAGAAATTACATTCCGATCATAATTTACATTATTGTTACAACAGATCACACGAATTGCCTGAATTGGCAATATATACATTTGATACGAAAACTATGATGGCCGGGGGTAAACCCCCCGACACATTTCTCTCGATGATTCACTCATCTGAATTTGATTTTTCGTCTCTCTATCTGAAAATAGGGTTTGGAATTTTGAAAACCCGATCGCCTAAATACGGACCCCTCAGAGCATCCATCTGGCTGCTAATCACACCTTTGATTCGAAACCCTTCTCTTTGCAGCATATTTCTTTGTCTTGATAAAAACTCTTCATAATCCACTTGCATTTCATTATCCATTCTACAACACCATAAATAATAAAAAAAAAAAATTATTAGTTATAATAATTGTGTAATTTAAATTTCTAACATATCCAACTCACGAAACTAAGAAGCAATTACCTCATGATAAGTGAAGACCAACCATTACATCCTGTAGATACAAGTTCCTCTACGGTAGCGTTTCTCTGTTTCTCGGGTTTTCTCGTAAACAAAATCAATTTCCACCGAAGGGATTGGAGTTTTATGTACAACTTCATCGTAAATAAATGTCTCAAATAATTTGAATCCTTGTTGCTTTCATGCAAGATATCTTCATTCACCCTGCATTCCAAGATAAAGATAAAGATCTCCAAAAAAAAAAGCAGAAATTAAGGAAAAATAACCGATTAGCGTACAAAGTTTCCGACACCGATAACAAGTCATCAGCATCCATCAACACAAGATCTAGACCGTCCATTTCCGATCTGACGGTGCTGAAGAAATCCTCAGCAATGGCAACCGCAATTTTCAAGTCTCTCGTGTAAAGACCTTCGTTGATGTACTGCGTATTAATATCCTCACAAATTGGAGGGAAAATGTCGGAACCTAATCCGTTTATTTCTGCATGGTGAGCAAATGTCCTGCAATAATCGTAGCTCTGTCTGTTTCTGTAAATTTCAACAACTCCAGAATTCTTATTTTCGCACGAATTTAACATCACTGTCAATGCTACGAGTAGTGACATTATCGATATTCCGAGTGTGACGAGACCGGAAATTAGTACCGTAGCGGCAAAAGATGACATGTAAATTCCTGCCTCGGTTGTATACTGGCTTCCCATTTCTGCCACAGTTCAATTTATTACAGTTAATAGGCAAAAATAATACCTCTAAATTTGCTATTAAAGATCCAATTTTTAATTTAAATTATTATTTTAATTTTTGATTAAAAATACCTGAACCCCCTGTGGTTAAAAGACTTTGAGCAGAGAATTCCCGCTCCATTTCGTGACCATAGGCAGACATTCTGTACTATTGCTCTTTATTAAATAATAACAATTTTATTAATTCCCTTCTTGAATATACATGTTTCACCTTAATTAAAAACATAAAATGAAAACCGATATTAATTAAAATCTCATGAACAAAAGAAAGATAAATTCAAATATACGCGAAAAAATCGGGAGAAATTGATACTTACCTGAGAGAAAATTCAAGAAGAAGAAATCAAACGATGAAGAAGAAGGATAGAAGGGGCAGCAATAATTTGCAGAAGAAAATTCGGCATTTCTTCTGGTTGTACAGATTGGATTGTGAAAACAAAGAGGAGGGGCAGAAATGGTAATTTGTGCAAACAAAGGACAAGAAAGTGGGACCCACTGAATATGTCCAGCTGGGACATGTATAATGTGTAGTAGCGGAAACATGTCGAGGTGGCAGACAGCTGTGGAATTTTTTATTTTATTTTTCCATTTAATTTTAAATTTTAAATCAGATTATTTGTTAGAAGTTGACATGGGCACGTACCTGAATACGTGGTGCATAAAAATTGAATACCAAATTGCATAATAAAACAAAATAATTGTGATATTCCATATCTGTTACATGTATGTATCATTCATATTTGAGCCACAAATTTACAAATCATTTTTTTTTTTAAATTTATTTATTATATATGATCAAATAAATGAATGATAGTAGGTAGGATTAAATCGTTAAATCGAATGTATTAATTTGCAACATAATCGTGTTGAATTAATGATTTATATTTTGAATTTGGTTTATTCATTATACAAATTAATTGAAGGTCCAATTTGTGAAAATAGTCAGATAGTAAATTCGTTAAAAGCCCAAGTAACTTTAATTCTGAAGAAGCCCAAATATGAAGAGCCCAAGCCCAAGATTATCATTGAGGAACTATTAAGATATTGGCCCGTTTAATTTAATTTTCCGAAAATTATTTTTGAAAATATAGCTTGTAGCGCCTGAGGTCATATGCTCGGGTGTGGGCGACCTCACAATCGAAAGTTGTGGGTGTTATTTGTGTGTGCTGAATGCACTATAAAACTAGAGTTTACGTCTTTCCCGAGACCAGTTAATTTTATGACAGGGGTTATTTTACATACCCCTAGCCACCAAATAAACTAGGGATAAACTCAAGCCCAAATCATCATTTGACATACCCCCTGGAGAAGGGAAAGTACTATACTACCCTTATATTCAATTTTCGGCCAAACTGCATTCAGCATTTCTGGTACTGTATTTATCATTTTCGCTGATTAATTTATTATTATTATTATTATTATTATTATTATTATTATTATTATTATTATTATTATTATTTTTTTTTTTTTTTTTTTTTATAAATAATAATAAACCTGTTTGTTAAATTTATATATATATATATATATTTTTTTAATTTTTTAATTTTTTTTTAAATTAAAAAATTAATTTTTTTTAAATTTTTTTAATTTTTTTAATTTTCAAAATAATATGTTTGATGTACTGAAAATAACTACATGTAACTATAGTACCTATAGTAATTCGTAGTTATGTTCGTTTTTTTTCCCCATATTTTTAGTCGATCAATTGTATACACACACGAATACTGGCTTATACAAAAGAAATTCATAAACCCCAATAAAAATTTACAAATGTCAATATTTTTATTATAAATCACCTCAGAATAAAAAATAAATAAAAAATTGAAAATACACAAATATATGCTAATATAACTACATGTTACTATATATGTGTAGTAATGTATACAGTTTGTCAAACACTGCTTCACATGTGACTTCAACTAAATTTTTGACACCTTCAAGGAGAGGATCAATGGCTTTCATAAACTGCAATTGCAAAATCAAAACAAAAAAAATTACTTAGTTGCAAATCAACAAAATTTGAAGAAACATCAAAACACTCAAAAGTCAACAAACACTGAGAGATCGAGAGATAGAGAGATAGGTTATTGCTGGGAAATGCTACAAATTTTAAATCAAACATACAGTGAATCCTCACCCCCCCTCGCTTCCTACGAAAACCCTAGGCGCCGCTACTAACCACCCACATTTCGCGCACCCACAAATGCAAAAAATTATAGAAATAAATCTGTAAACATAAAAATAAACAAAATTACCATCAAAATATAGATCTCGACGAGAGGAATCCAACGATGGGTAGCCCGTCAAATTTCGACTGGTGGAACACAAAGAACACCTCCGGCAAGACCATCGTTGTCGAATGAAAAAAAAAATCAGAAACAGATCTGCGCTCCAAACTGAATGAAATCACCACCAAAAGAAAGAGCCCGACGAGAGGAATCCAACGGTAGTTAAGCCATCGAATTCCGACCACCGGAGAGAGAGTTATGGCTCCGGGAAGCAATTTCACCGGTGGGAGGTTTGTGGAGGCGGGATTTTGAATCTGGGAGAAGAAGAGAGACCGAAATGTGAGTGTCTAGAGTTTAAAACTGATTTCATAGGGGCCCAGGGGGGTATGTTAAAATATTTTCGAAATTAGGGGGGTTTCCCTTAGAGTGTAATCCACTTGGTAGTTAGTTCTATATAATTTGGGAATGAGGGGGTTCTACAAAATAATCCCTTTATGACAACTAGTTAGGGGTGGTAAACGAGCCGAGCCGGCTCGACAAAGGCTCGAACTCGAGCTCGGGTTTTTCGAGCTCGAGCTCGAGCTCACTTATATATATATATTATTCTTATTCTTATTCTTAATATTATTATTATTAACTAAATAGTAAATATTCTATAATAATAAATATTTCTAGTATTTAAATAGAAACAAATCTATATTACTTAAATAATTCATAATAATATAATATATTATAATAATAATAGAAAAATTAAAAAATATATATAACTAAAGTTCATTATTTATTTTATATATTTTTTTAATTTTCTTATAAATAATTTTTAATAAAAAAATCAAATGATTTTAATAAAAAAATCAAAAAATCAAAAAAAATTAAATGAGCTCGAGCTCGAGCTCAAGCCAAAAAAATTGACTCGATGAGCTCGAGCTCGAGCTCGAGCTGGCCAAAAGAGCCGAGCTCGGCTCATTCCCACCCCTACTAGTAGTGTCTGAGGTCCTACGTATTATGACTAGCATTATCAATTCAATTTCAAAGTCGCTTTGGTTATAACTTTAACCGAAAATTCGTTAAAATCTAATATATATAGTTTTTCCCATAAATAAAAATATAATTTCCATACGTCAATTTTTGGGTTTGTATAGATGCAATTTCATTTTATCTATTTTGTTTAGTTGATTGTGACACTAAGCTTGTAATTTGCATATCTAGAAAGATCTTGAAAATCTAGACCCAATCAAATAAAGTTTGGAATGCAATTTGAATTCATGCACACTTAATTATTATTATTTAAAAAAAAAATATATTTTTTGCAGTGTAAACACAGTCCATAAATCTTCAGTTATAGCTTTTATGGAATGCGGTGGCATTAATTGGTTGTGCTTTCTTTTTCATTTTCCCTCTTTTGCCTTTGTATTAAACCCTTTTTGTTAAAGCTAAGATAGGTCCAAAATGCAATTTATGCAAAAAGATATACCTCAGTTGAAAGGAACCTTTTCTTTTGGGGCTCAATTATTATACTCTTTTTTCTTTTTCTTTTTTTTAACAAAGAAAAGGGGAATCAATTATTAAAATACCTTTTATTTTGTTTTCACTTCTTAAGCAAACTTGCTAATACTCATTGAACATATATTGGATGGTTTCTTCCTTTTCAAAAAGAAAAATGTGCAATATTGATATTTGACCCCAACTTTTTCATGCCTATTAGACCCCACCAACATAATAATTCTTTAAATTAAGCGCCACAGTTCTTCACTGATTTGTTCAGTTTATATAGACACGAGATAAGCTCTGCAAATAATAACGGCCGGTTAAAAAAAGAAAACAAATCATTTAGCTTAGATAGTTCTTCTTCACTGATTTACTAATATTTATTTAATTACATCTCAAACTAAGGGACCATTAAAAACTCTTGAGAATAAAGGTGGAATGTCTAAATTAATTGCATTTTGTAGTCTCTCATAGAAGACAAATTAAAAATCATTTAGCATATCCGAATTATTATTTAAAAATGGTACTCACTAATTAAAAAACAATTACCGACGCATAAAAGTTTGAAGTTCATAACTTAATACTTTTACACCGTGGTGTGCACAAACCATAACAGTCACATGTCACAAATTAAAGTTTTTATTTATTTATTTATTTATTTATTTATTTTAATTTATTAATTACATTATTTATCAGTTATTCTCACAAAGGCAGTAGAATGTTGAGGTACATGTTATATTATATTTTATCACATATACTATATATATGTATATGTATAATTTGATGACTGTGATGTAGACCAACCCCATAGGCTGCTAAAACCCTACATATCTATATCAAGATACTCAATCACATTTAATTTCATATTTCTTCAGTCAGTTTTTTAATGCTTTCTGTCTCAAAATTAAGTGTTTAACTAAATCCGACAGACTTTCAAATTTAAAAAATATATATATATGGGTAAATTACAAACACCCCCTGAGGTATGGTCAAATTACAAAAACACCCCTCTTGTTTGGATAATTACAACCACCCCCTCAACTCATCAAATTTAGTGGAATCTTCGAGATTATATGGAATATTATCACTTTTGTACCCGTTTTATCCCATTCAAACTCTACATTATGAAGCAAGATGATCATAATATGTGATTTTTAGCTTGTATATATCAGTTTGTGGTGCATCGGAAACTGTATTTTTTACACAAAAAGAGTACAAACTAGAGCACATTTCACGGAATCTAGATGACTATGTTGAATTTGGCACCATAAAGGTGGAGGTCTAAGAAAAAATCATAGTTGAGGGGTAGATGTAATTATTCAAACAAGAGGGGGGTTTTTGTAATTGACCA